ATGATTTTCGAGATGCACAAATGCCGTTGGTGATTGGATTGAGGCAATGTAAAACGAAAAGATAAAAGAAAGGAAAAAAACTACAAACTGCTGACACCATTAATCCACTTGAGAGCACAAATTAAACCAAAGCGCAGTTAGAAAGATGCACCAATGTTTCAATAATCCATGGCTCCATAGTCACAAGAGCCGCACAGATACAACAAACACAACAAACATACTCCTAACATATACATATACCTACATACAATACTTAAATACATAAAGTTGCACACAAATTGCAATATACAATGAGCAAACAATTCCCCGTGCAACAACAGCAGCAGCATCAACATTGGCAGTCTCACTTAAAACAACAACAATAAGCAGTAAATGGTAAAGCTTCACGTGTGGAGTGGTGAGGTGGCAATCGGGAGCCAAGAGCTTCATCACTAACAACTACGACGACGACGACTACGACGACGACGACTAAATGAGGCTCACTGCCGTCACAACTCGAAAAACTGATTCACTGCTGCTGTTGCCGTTGCCGTTAGTTCCCGGCTCGGTGCGGCAATTTCACTCTGCTATGTATTATGTTCAATTTGCAAGCATAAATATGTGCATACACGTATGTACATATATATGTAACGATATTTGTATATGTATGTATGTATAGGTGCATTTCTTGCGGCGTTGAGGGCGAACGTAAACGAGATGACTTTATGTGCATATGATATATGTATGTATGTGTGTACATATGTATGTAGACATACATATATGTATATGTAAACACATATGTTATGTATCTGATTTGATCCATGCAGCATCTCCATAGCAATTTCAACAGTGACTAAGGTTTTAGCTGCAGTTGGCACTGCGGCTGACTCTGGCTGTCCATAATCGTAATTATTATTATTATTATTGTTGTTATTGTTAATGCACTGCATTTCATGGGTGATGGTTTATTGTTGTTCTACGAAACGTTGTTTTTGTTGCAAATGTTTGAAAAAAATTTTCTATTTAATTTGGCAGGAAGGAAAAAAGGCGCGCCGGCAAAGGCAACAGCGAAGCAATCACTGCTCTTGGCGTTGCCAAAAACCAACAACAATAATAACAACATGATAATGTTGTACTCATGTAAAACACTGCATTTTGCTTATATTTTGCCATTTTCTCTTAAACTTTGTAACAAGCGCCATCGGCCGCTTTCACGGAGTAACACAAATACATACAGGCACACAGACATACATATGTACATACGAAAGTGTAAATAAACACAAAATACTAAAAAAAAAAGTTGTAATTTTTTAATTTTTCACAACTTTTTGTTTATTTTTATCATCTTTAATTTCTTTAAATTCTTTTAATTTTTGTTATCTTCTGTTCATTACTTTTTCTTCACGTATATGTATTATAAAAAACACTTCAAATAAATTATGAAAACAAATTTTTATTCAATTTTTTTTTATTTCTTAAATTGAATAGTCACTAAACCGTGTCGAATAAGTTTTAATTGGCTTTAATTGGAACGCATTTGTGGCGTTATTTGTTATATATAAATTTTATAAAATGCTTTATTGACGATGCTTTGTCAAAGAAATCAACATTCTTAGAAGCTTTTACACGCAACACGTACATCTTTTCATTTTAAACCCTTTTCAATAAGTATAATTTCCAAAAATTTTAGGCTTAAAAGTTTTAAGTTCCTTGCTAAGCACAAAACTTCTATGCATAAACATTTACGGCATTTTTTTTTTTTTTTTTTTTTTTTTCAATTTAAATTTATTTAATATTTCTCGCAATAATTTTCAAAACATTTTTCACTTAAAAATTCTCAAAACACACAGTTCGTACGTACTTCGACGCACCGTTTAGGGCTGGAAGAGTTGAAGGGGATTAACCCAAACCGTAAAAGATTCACTGCCAACAAACCGCACAGCACAGCCACCGTCCCATTTAAACATACATAAATTTTGTAAGAACCGTACTGCGCTCGGAAGACCAACAACCACTTTCTTCGCCGTTTTGGAAAACACTATTTTATCGCTTCTGGCATTTATGCCACATTCGCTTTGGCGCTGTGATTTTACTGCTGCTGTTTTGCCGGCTAAACAAAAACCACTCAAAGACTATGTGCTCCAATGAGTTTTAAACGTTTGAGAGAGCACTCTTTGAGTGAGTAGAGCAGAGAGTGTGCTCTTTGACTTGAGTTAGTTTGGAGATGGCTGGTTTTAATGAGTTGAACAGCAATACAACTAATTTTGAAGATAGCACAGAGACGGCAGGGATTAAGCTGCAACTACCCAACTCACTCTCCAGCCGTCCATAACTGACGACGTTAGTAGTGAAATACATACACGAGCTATCGACGCTGCTGAGAGCGGCAAAATGTTGCCAGCTGCCTGTGTGTTTGCACACTTTTGAACAAATTCATAATTTTCGTCAACGAATTTCATAATTTATTTGCTTTAACATAAACACAAGGCAAATATACATGATCTATATAGTAACAAATAATTAGTTACGCATTTAGTTTTCATTTCTTTTGAACAAAACTACGCATTATCTTCGATTATTTAATGTTACTTTAAGAAAGGCTATACTGGCAACCTTGTATAGCAACGAAAAATGAGCCGAGCCGGTTTTACGGAAAAATCAAAACTTCGTTGGTTTCTGCGACACAAACGTCAGCAACGCTATGGTAAATCGGTGACAACTTTGTGTTTACATGGCGCTCTCATAAGATAGGTTACTATGGACGGCTGGTACGCTCGTTGGGTAGTTGCAGCCTTAGGGTTTGAACAGAAACACACTTAAAGTGAAAATTCCCCTTTAAGCGAAGAAACGAAAGAGTGCATATATATGCTAAGATCTTCTGATTCTGAAGGGATCATCCTTTTCGCCAAGGGATCTGCAATCCAATCCCTTCCAACCGGCTCAATGATATCTGTGAAAAGCTTTTACTTTCATGTTTAAACTTCACTTTGGATGTTTGCATCTTCTCACCGAGGAAAAGCATTTAGAAAAAACGATATCTCTGTACTTTGTTTTGAAGTTGGTCCAATCTGGTTCTTCAGAAAATAACACTCATTTGCAGCTGGCTTAAGGAATATTTAGTAACGCCAAACAAAGTACCTTCACCCTAATGAACACACAGATATTTATCGATAGCTTTTTACCCACCACTAACTGAGCACGTTTAAGCAGTGAAACGAGTTAAACTCTCTACACTAAACGACTCAATAGAAACGTTCAAGAAGAGAATTATTACAAATTTCGAAATAACAATTGATAACAGCCGATGCTCTGAGATTTTGTGTTCGCAATGAGAGCACGTGCTCCAGTATAACTTCAAAACTGGTATTTAAAACGAAACATCAACTCATAGAAACGAGCCACAGCCAATAAGTCTCTACATAAGTATCAAGTAAAAGGTATTTTCGCACGCAGACGAAACAAAAAACGAAGAACTACAACGAGGGACAGACAACAAACAAGAAAATGCAGTTGGCTTTCAACGTTTACCGGTCCTTGTTGCCTATTAAGGAGCGTATGCTTAAGCGCGCTGCGCTGTCAATGTCGGCGAGGGCGACTGCGATGCAAGCTGCGACCGAAGTGTGTGTCCACAGCCATGATGGCGTGAGCCCAAGTGTCGAAATGCCAAACGTGTCACGCCGAAGCGTAGCAAAATGTGTGCGAAAACCTGTTTAAGGCAAATACCGAAGAAAACAATAGCCAACAAAGAGTATGCATACATGGAAAGGCAGGAGGAGCATGTGTGAACAACAATAATATAAGAAAAGAGCTGCAGGAAAAGCGACAAATAGAATAAAAAAGAAACTTGCATTCAAGTGGCAGGCAATGGTTGCATCAAAGTAAAGGTGCCACTCGGCATACTAGACAGACCAAACATGCAAGCAGACAAGCCGGCAAGCAAAGAAGGTAGTCTCAGTCAGTCATTGGTGCATTGGTTGTTGGGTAAGGTGGCAAAACGGGCGCGGCTCTTACGCCGCCATTAGAAGTGCTCACAACTTTCGACATTTCAACTTCGACGAACGATGTCGACAACGACAGTGTCTAGACCAAAGAAATAGCGAACATTTTCTACAGAGATGAGGAAGCTTTCTTCACTTTGCGACGTAGGAGGTGGAGTGCTGCTGAAGTGTATTCGGGTTAACGCTAAATATTAGGTGAAGGGACTTGATTTAATGGTCGCTTTAATGCATATAACGCTTTGAATAAGTAATGTGAGTGAGATCTAAAGCAAAGTTATATTCATTGAGTCACAAAAATTGGAAAGGAAATTTCATGATATTGGCAACTGCAATAAAATAAGGACCGAGATAAAAAATATTAACCATGAACAGGCCTTTTGCTTTATATCCAATTTTTTTCTTACCTTTTAAGGTAATTAACGGTATTTCATATTAAAAATTTAGTTCTTTATGTCCTTTACGCAATAATGAACGAAATACAACACATTGTCCTCGCTGTTGCCCATGTACTTTATTGTTATTTCATTAACAAAACTAGAATATAAAAGAAACAACAAAAAGTCCTTTAACTTTTTGGGGGTTGCTTTTGACGCCACTTGAAAAGCCGGTAAATCATATGACGTACACCTTTTCTGCTTTTGCACATTGCGTTTTTTAACGAAGAGCAAACGAATAAATAGAGACACAAGAAAATACGCGAGAGAGCGTAAAAATGCGCATGCTGTCGAAATGCACTCATCTTTGAGCGAGCAAAACAAACAAAAACAAAATGTAAAGATTAAATAAATAAACAAAACCAAATGCACTCAACACCAGTTGCAACAGTATGAGACTGTCTGGTCAGAAAGTGAGTGGCGTTTGGCGTAAATAAACGTTGCCAGATTGTAATGAAAAAATCTTGACAATTCAACGAGATATTCTATAATTATTTCTGCAATTGTAATTCTCGTATAAAAAAACTCAAAAAATATTCGTCGAGTAAATAATTGGATTTTTTTATGAATAAATAAATTAAGAACTTACCACTTGACAAATCCGGATCAAAATCTTCCTCATGACGGGCACGTTTCTCCACTAAAAACAAAAAATAAAAATAAAAAGTATTTAAAAATGTGATAAACTATTTTTTTATTTTATTTTATAGTTAATTTAAAAGGTTGTAAACTATTAAAATAAATAAAATAATTATTAATAATTATGAATACACGACCATATAAAAGTCATAGTCCTGAAGGACTGATGGATCTGTGGCAACCGATAAGAAATCGTTTGGCATTTCCTGATTCTTCCATTCATTATTTTACTTCCGGTTTTTTTTTTTTTTAAATTTAAGACAGCTAAAAATACTGTAAAAATTGGAAAAAGTTACAGCATAATTTGATACGCTGCGGGTTGGTTAGCGGTTCAAGATTTTATCCACCGCAAGGAATTCTTGTCGTTAGAGGCGACTAAAATCCAATAGTGCAACACACTGTCACGCAAATTTCCATTTAATATGCATAAAAGCCCCTTATGCTAATCAGTACAAATGCTTGGATGGAGTGAGTTATGTTTCATAATTTAGTGTGAGTTGACCTTTGAAACGGTAAATAAAAAATCCTTATAGTAACACAACCCGCCTCATAATACCTGCCCAACTTCTTGTACCGTAGCTTCTACTGTTGACTAATTTGAGAAATGAGTTCCGAAGAATAATTTTTATAAAAAATTTTCAATTTGAAATGGTCTATAAATTTAAAATAATGACTAGTTTTAGTTGTTCCATAAAAACTCTACAGAATTATTTTTAATTTAATTATTTATCTTAAACGAATGGTTACATTTATTTAGAATAAATGTTTTGGAAAAAAGTAATAAAAAAAAAATTATTTTATTATATAACTACATTCATATATGTGTAATTGGCGCTTTGTACTCGCTGAAGCGGTTATCGGTTCAGCTCCTCCCTATGCCAAGAAGTTTGCGAGATAAAAGCGGTTTTTTAATTTGGAAATTAGCGTTTTCGTTCAGCTTTTTTTTTGTCGTATAGGCAAATTTTCCAAAATTTAAAAAATAGGTGTCATTAGCATTGAAATGAAATGCAATTAAAATTCAGAGTAAAAAACTCAATAGTTTGTACTTTCTCCAATAAGGATTACTTCTGATCCTTCAAAATATAAAAAAGTTCATATAAATATATTTATTCACTATAGAATAATAAAATAATAAAATTAAAGCTGTCAAATAGAATACTTCTGTTAATATTAATATCAACATTTGTCTTAATTTATAGTTTTCTTTATGGATGAGATACTAACTTTAGAACAGAGTCCGTTTGTCGAATTACTGTTTTCAATTACCAGCGCAAATTACCCCGTTCACGCGGCATGCAATTTTGCAGTTCTCTTTTTCGCTAGTTTAATTTTTTCATTTGAAAGCGCAGGTACTGTATTGTCAAAGGTTTTGGTAGAAATTTATAAAATATTGAAATGAATTGGTGATGTAAATACCAAAATATGGAATCCGACAAGAAAAATTCCATCAAATCAACGCATTCAATCAAAATTATACTATCTTGCTCTGGTTATAATTTCTGAGCAATATAATTATAATAATTTCTATTTTTTCATTTTAACTATACAAACAAAATTTATTTATGATTATCATCTTCTTTGTTTATATGTGTTAGCTGACTTCGATCAACCTGCGATAAAAATTAGGGAAAACAACGATTTGGTAGCAATTCGCGTGGTAATTGAAAATGAATTGCCCACTTTTGGCATAATTCGGCCTCGAAAATATATATATCGAATTAAGTATGCATTTGGGTGTGAATTACGATTGAAATAGCGAATAACGTAATCGGCGTGACGTTGAAATGCAGAACTATGTGTCTTAGCACAGACACGATTTTTGTGAAAACGCGTCACACGTTGTATTATTTACGCAAAAAAAATTAATACTCACTCCTGAATAATAATTTATTTGCAAATCAATCCACTTTTTTACATCTTTTTGTGTTTTTTCTCGTGAATGAGTTTTGTTCATATTTTGGAAATGATTGAATAGAGCAAGCTCAACGAAATGGGAAAGCGCATTGGGAATAGTTCTACTTTAAATTATGAATAATTTCATTTTTTAATAAGTTAGTGCATTCAGAACGTTTACACAAAAATTGCTCGATTCGTATGCATGAAAATACACAAATGTTGTAAATTCTGACTTAAAATAAAGGAATTTTTTTTGTAGCTTCCCTGCAGCTAAAACTTAAAATGTTTTTTTATCATGATAAGAATAACAGAATTAACGCTATATATTGGGTTGCCCAAAAAGTAATTGCGGATATTTTAAAGAAAGTAAATGCATTTTTAATAAAACTTAGAACGAACTTTAATCAAATATATAATTGCCATTTTGTTCGATCACCTTTTGCCATCTTCCTGGCAAATTTAGTATTCCACGCTCATAGAACTTCTGTCCTTTATCTGCTAAAAACTTAACCAAGTGCGGTTTTATAGCCTCATCATTGCCGAAAGTTTTACCATTTAAGGAGTTCTGCAAAGATCGAAATAAATGGTAGTCTGATGGTGTAAGGTCAGGGCTATATGGTGGATGCATCAAAAGTTCCCAGCCAAGCTCACTCAGTTTTTGGCGAGTGACCAAAGATGTGTGCGGTCTAGCGTTGTTCTGGTGGAATATGACACCTTTACGATTGACCAATTCTGGTCGCTTCTCTTCGATGGCTGTATTCAATTTGTCCAATTGTTGACAGTAAACATCCGAATTAATCGTTTGGTTCCTTGGAAGCAGCTCAAAATATACAAAACCCTTCCAATCCCACCAAACAGACAGCATAACCTCTTTTGGTGGATATCAGCCTTTGTAGTGGTTTGAGCTGGTTCACCATGCTTGGACCATGATTGTTTTCGACTATCTCCAGTTATGACTCGTTTATAAAACGGATCGACTTCATTGCGTTTAAGGTGCAGATCACAAGCGTTGATTCGGTGTGTTAAATGAATTTCTTTCAATACATGTGGTACCCAAATATCAAGCTTTTTCACCAGTCCAAGACTTTTTATGTGATAATGAACTGTTGGTTTTGGTATATTTAACTTCTCTCCTATCTCACGCTCAGTTACATGACGATCCAATTCGATTAATGCTTTGATTTGGTAATCATCAACTTCATTTGGCCGACCTGAACGTGGCTCATCTTTAAGTGAAAAATCTCCAGAACGGAATTTGCGAAACCAATTTTGACACTGTCTTCCTTTTAAGGCTTCATCGCCATACACATCTCGTAACTTTTTAGCAACCTACTCCGCGTTTTTTCCTTTACGGAAATAATAAAGTAAAATATGACGAAAATGCTCCTTTGTGGGCTCCATATTAAAATTGACGCCAAACAAACAAATGTAAACAAAATTTCGCGCACTTTTTTTCTAAAGCAAGCTAAAAGTAACAGCTGATAACTGACAGAAGAAAGAATGCAATTACAGAGTCACAAGCCGTTGAAAAAATTTGTCAATGCCGACTATATGAAAAATCCGCAATTACTTTTTGGGCAACCCAATAGTTTTATAGAATTTTTACCAGAATTTGAAAAATTCCTAATAATTATTAGCAACTAAGCAATTTCGAAACTGTTTCTCAAATAAATTCGTAGCTGGTTATTTTAAGCAACTCACTTGAAATAAAATCACTCGATGTCCGCGGACGTATTTTTCCCATAAACTTGCTGATTTTGTTATCATTATGTGGTTCTTTTCGTTTCGCTTGTGGCAACGGGCCTGGGCAATTTTCATCTAACACTTTCGAACAGGGACGGTGAATATTTAATTTACAGTCTGAAATAATCAAGATAAATGAGCAAACATAGATAATTAACTAAAAATACCGTTATCTATTAAAAAAAAAATACCTGTACAATGGTAACCTTGCGGACTAACACCCCAAATAATTGTCTGACAATGATTACAGTGGGTCACTTCGTAGTATTGACGTAATACCAATGGATGACCACGAACAATCATCTGTAACAAAAACAAAAAGACATACGTATTTTTAGGTATTTTCATTTTCACATTTAAGCATGCTTCGACTTACTTTCCGATTTTTGCCCATCAAACGCGACTTGAAACTTTTCTCACGACTTACAAAGTGATGCACACGATCAACAATACTGTTTGGATGCGAACGTGTTATAAATATGCGATGTATAACGGTTGATAATGCCGAACAAATGGCCAATTTTTTCGGATCCTCAATGGGTAAGTCTTTTTCATACTCTTCGCTGTAATGAGGAAATTTTATTAATCGTAGGTTAAATAAAAAACATTTACTTGATAAATAACATTTAATATAAATAAAATATTAAATTAAAATAAATAAAAAATTAATAAAAACAAATTAAAATAAATAATAAATAAATAAAAAATAAAATTAAATAAATATTTAGTAGGTGATGTTATCTCTTCGCACTCACATCAATACTTGCAGTTTACGCATTAACGTCTCTTCAAAGATATGCTGCTCGCGTTGCTTATCGCCTCGTGCTTCCGTAAGTTGAGCATCGGTTGGACCATAAATTGTGCCCAGACCTTCAGTACGTGTCTGTTGAAATTCACGCAATTGCGCACAGATAGTATCACGTGCACATTTTCTGCTTTTCCAAAAGACTTTACGCAAAATTTCCACTTTATCGAATTCACTTTGCAGCACATTATCCACCTCACGCGCCAAGGACTCATCCTTGCGATACCAGGAAAGCGGTGCACGTGGCACCAGGAATGTCGAATGTATCTCATATGCCCATTTACGCATATCCTTCGCAGTACCCTCTTTATACAGGCCGGTGATTAGATAGAACAGTAACGGTGCTGGCTCTGAGTTCGATAGCACATAGTTGAGAAACACAGCTAAGAAGGCAACATTTTCCGGCTCCAGTAGGCGTTGTAGAGAGTTGAACGGCCCATTCTCGTCGATGAAAGGACCCTCTTGATCGGAAGCATCTTCATCCTCCATTGAGATGATCTCCTTTTGGGTAGCGTTCGATTGTGCTGCTAAAATGCGATTGGAATGTGTGCTGGTGGTGGTGGGTGTAGAAATGAGTGGTGGTGGTGTTGGTGAAGCAGCACCTGCGAGCGGAGTAAAGTGATGTGATTCAATGAAAATTCCACCACCGCCGCCACTGTCATTTGCCAACTGCTGTTGCTGATGCTCTTCCGCTCCAGACATGGTTAGATAGGGTGGCGGCGGTGTGCCGGGCGGTGTTACTTCGCCATCCTTCTCGACGAGCTCCCAAGAACCAGAAGTAGTTTTGTTAATGCGATCTAAAAAAAATAAGTGCAATGACAGTTTTTTATTGATAATAAAGTTGCTATAACTAATACATGTGATAAGGCACCTGGAAAGGATAGCAAGCTCTACAGGAGGTTTAAAACATGAATTCTGCGGTAGCTGCAAAAGTCAATCTACACATAAATAATCAAAATTTGCTCACTTCAGATGAAGAAAAATTGAATAACCACGAAATTCAAAATCTGGGTCCAAGCGACAAAAAATGTCAAAGGAAAGTACTTCACTTTCAAAAACTCTTACTACAATAAATGTTAGGAAAAATGTTAGAAAAAAATTTTAAAATTTATCCCCGTCACAATCAACGGAAAAACTTAAAATTCGATCACGACAGAGCAACGAAATTAAGAAAATACATTTCAAGTCTTGATTTCACGAAGAGCATGAGCACTCAGTACATAATTATATTAAGGTGTGTGTGATTCGTCAAGATAGCGCGAATATGAAAATCCAAACGTCAGTAACGAGCATAATACAAGCAAAATCATTAAAGCATCTCCTGTAGTATTCCAAAGGTGTAACAAAAGATCGTGAACCCTTTGATCTAGCTTTTTCGCTTTTTATTGGATGTTTTTGTTTTTACTTTAGCTTGTTCTTGTTTTTGTAGCGAATAGCTGTGAGAACTCGCCCACCACTGACAGGAGGTACAGTAAATTAGCTATTACGACGTGTTCGGGCCAAAGAGTATTGGTTGATTGATGGTGGTTTGGATTCAATCGAGTATCCTTTTCTGATGTGCCTAGGTGGTGGTTCAGCTTCCAAGTGTTGGTTAGGATGACCTCTACGGCAGCCTTCCAGCAGATATTGCTTACACAGAATAACATTATGCATAGATGGGAGCACAGATCTTTCACAATGTGAATGCTGTATAGGTGACATCCGGAGGACTCCCAGTAACTTGGGGTTACTTATGGTAGGAATTATGATGTCATGAAGCAAGGTATGCCACGAAGAGTTCCATTGGACCGTGTGGGTCTGGCGGTTTTTACCAAAGGCACAGCGTAGCGTTTGTGACGCAGTTGAACGTTGAGGCAACATAATACTTTATAAGCCTTCAGGCATGAACAGGTCTTAAGATGACTACAACCATTGTACTGGTTGCTTCTCACCGAAGCGGATGAATGGTGGAGTCGTCTTTCACACATGCCGCTGAAATAATCCGTCGGACCAGAATTGACTAGTACGCCTGCGCTGAAGAGAATAATTCAAAGTGGCAGTCATTGATCGAATAAAATCAACTCGCGGTGCGTAGAACCGACTTTCGTGGTAGTTGCGTTTTTTCATTTGGGTATTTAGATATGACACATACCAAAATGTAATGTAAATGTATAAAACGACGGAAAACAAAAAAAAAGCACACAGATGAAAAAAAAATCTCTTTGAATAAAGTAATTTGCTTTGTAATGGTAAAACAAAATAAAAAATGTAAGGTATACAACTTTGCTTCCGTCGTTTTCCGATAGGTGGCTGTACCGGCTGAGACTGGTTGAAATACATAGATGATGAGTGTGGACAGTGCCCAACGAATTGTCTCGCCATTTGCGGGAAGTTTTACCTTTCTGTTACAATTCGAAAAAAATGCAGCTGAAGCGCATCGAATGCTCTCAGAAACTTACGGTGGTGCTGCTCTGAGTGAAAGAACATGTCGGGATTGATTTCAACGTTTTAAAAATGGTGATTTCGATGTCGAAGATAAACATGGAGGTGGAAGAGAAAAAACCTTCAAAGATTTACTACGAGCTCTTAAAACCGGGTAAACCATCACAGGATATCGCTACCGAACGCAACTGATGCGCCTTAGTCGCGCGCTAAAAGAAAAGCAGCCACAATATCAAGAGCGACATGACAAAGTTATCCTCCAACACGACAATGCTCGGCCTCACGTCGCAAAAGTGGTCAAAAAGTACCTGGAAACGCTGAAATGGGAAGTCTTGCCCCACCCGCCGTATTCCCCACCTTTTGACTTCCACCTATTCCGTTCGATGGCACACGGCCCGGCAGATCAACATTTTCAATCCTTCGAAGAATTGGAAAAGTGGATTGCTTCATGAATAGCGTCAAAAGAGGACTCCTTTTTTCGAGCCGGGATCCGAAAATTGCCAGAAAGATGGGAGAAAGTTGTGACTAGCGACAAAGTTGTACACCTGGAAACTCAATTTCTTGCTTTAGGATGAAAAATTAATTCTTATATCTGAAAAAATCGGTTGCATGGGGGCTATATAAAGTCCTACGATTTCAATAATTTTCGATGTCAATATTTATTTACATAATCGTGTTTTGAATACTAATTTGCACACTTTAAAGTGTTTTTTTGACAAATTTTTTATCCAACACCTCATAAGCAATTTGTTCAGGGTTTGTATGGAAGCTATGTATATGGTTGTATTGTTAGTGTTGTTGTAATCGAATTGGTTTTCGGGCAATATTGTGGAAGTGAGGGCTTGACATTGCCTGCAAAGGCACAACCGCCGTTAGAAAAATTAATTTTCTAGAATTTTGAGTGTTGGTCGAACCAGGACTCGCACCTTGGCTTCAGCTTTTTTTTTTATTTTTTAAAGTCATTGCACGACTTTAGGTGCTGGCTAATTTCTTCCTGCCATTTGAGTTTTGGCATATACTCGTTTGTATGTATGTATTTATTTTAGATTCATGAACGGATAAAGTGTGTTCTTAGGGAATCTCAATACCTCAGGAGGTCTTTCATTTATAGGGAAATCATTCATACCATAAATCTGAAGCATTGGAAAGGAGGTACTCGATTCAAAAAGACCGGGTAAATTAATTCAATTGAAACTCAATTTCTCACTTAACCTGCCGTTACATAATATTTTTTTTTGTCTTTTCAACACATCCTTCTCTTCTACTGCCGATATTTACAGCAAACATTGAACAAAACTAGTAAATTTGTAATAACCGAAAGAATTCCGCCTATGTAATAAAAGAACAGATGCCACGTCATTTATTTAGTGGACTATAATTACATTTCATGCGGGTTGAGAAAATTGGACAAATCTTCGTATTAAATAAATACATATAAAAATTCCGCGCAGATCAATTTAGTTTTTACTTTAGTTTTTCCATTCAGCACTTTGGAATGCATAGAGATAAGTTGGTGATTGCCATTTGTGTTTAATTGGCAAATGGAATGAAAATTGAAAAAAAAAAAATCGCTAATCCCTGAAGAGCAAGATACAAATGAGAAAAAATAAACAACTTAAAAGCACTTTAACGAAATCATCATGCATTTTTATCGCACAACGCATTATAGTGGAGAGATAATAAGTAAATGAATCACAAATATGCATGGCCAAGGCAAAAAAGAAAACGGTCAAGTTCTGAAATGAAAGCAATTGTGATAAGTCATAAAAGAAGAGCAAGTGCAGAAGTAAAAAAGGAAGTGTGGTATATGGAAATTCTTTTCTAGACAAAACGAATCGCGACACAAACTGATATGAATTTTGGCAAAAAGATGTTTCTTTCATTTATGGCATGGAAAATTATTAAATCAAACAATTCTTTTGTTCTTTATGCTTCTAACTAATACCAACTAATTTAAGTTAATTTAATTAAGTAAAAATCGTTATCGGTTGGACCAAAAATTGCAACGAGAAAACACAATTTTGACATTTAGTTTGAAGCAAATTCGGGCTTGGCAAATTTTGGTCAATAAATTGTGAAAATGCGAAGTCTCTTGACTTAAAATTAAATGCTTTTAAGGTATTAATATGAGTGGGTTGGAAACAAGAGGAGTAAGCAAATGATGTTTTGCACTTTCCTTACAAATTTTTACTTTTTCCTGTTGCGCTAGACTTAGAAAACATCTTCCTTTGACAGGCCTATTCTGTCGAGGTAACAAAATTTACTTTGGTATTAAAATTCACCATTCAGCCAATTTTGTTACTATTTCGTATTCTGAGTTCACTGTCATCCTGTAAATTTTGTTACTATTTCGTATTCTGAGTTCTGTAAATTTTGTTACCAGCGAAATCGGAGGTAACAAAAAATCTACTGTTTGATTTTGTGTTGTTAGTTTGAGAAAGAATAAAAACCAAAATTTGTAGGCATACTTTAGGTCTGGAATTCATTGAAAATGGCGAAAAAGGGCAAGTGCAAGTATGTTAAGAAGTTTGCGAAAAAAGTACCTTTTTAATATGGAAAATAGCGTTTTCGTTCAGTTATTTTGTCGTTTAGGCATATTTTCAATAATTAGAGTCAAATATTTATGATTTAATAAACATATAAATAAACCTTATTTATTTTGTTGTGTACTGTCGGGTTCATTTCGATTTACTTTACTAACTGACAAATGTAATTTGACTAGGACGAAATTTTTTTCAAACATTTCAAACATTATAACCAGTTCGCCAGAATACGAAATTCAATTTCGAGTAGTAAAATTCAAAGTAATAAAATTTACTTTACCGGTAACAGTGAGAATAGGCCTGTGAAAGAAACATTTTTTCCTCTGTTTACGCGCTAATTCTTACTTGGTTGTAAAAATGCGTCTGCTTTAAATACAATAAAATAGTGAAAAGTGATTTGAGTAGCTTTTATAAGAAACTCTTACTCGCTTTTAACTTCCCTTCTTGCTTTTATTGTAGACTTTTCGAAAAACATGGAAAACTAAACGGCGCTATAGGCGACGAACCTAACTTCGACTGGCAATCGGGGCTTTTTATTTTATCAATCAGAAGACATTTATACACTCCGTTGTGGACTAGGAAGATGTCCCTAGTAATAACAGATAAAATCTTACCTTTAGAAAATTCAAAATGATTACTAACGCAAAATTAAGTTTATTATTATTCACACACAAAGGGAAGTTTCGTTCTTGCAAGAGCGGCCGCTAAGTATAACACATGAAATATTTTTTTCAGGTCCTTTGAGATTTGTTAAAGTTTGACATGAAAATTTTGTGAGTAGGAAATTTTTGATCAGATAAACCCATTTTTTTTTTATAATTTCCAATTCCAAATAGCTGGCAGTGATCAAACCAATATCTTAGTTATACAATAGAAAGATTAACTGGTGTTGGCAAAACAACAAGATTTACACCAAAAATTGGGGAGGTCTGTAAAAAATCGGTTTAATATTACTTGCATTCTGTGCTGATATGCAACAGCCACGTCAAATTCAGGAATACGATATACTACAAAATTTCATCGATCTGTTGATCCTTAATCCCCTTTTCGGTAATACTGATTTCTATATGTTAATCTTTAGCAAAAAAGAAACCGACTTACTAAATTGCACGAAAATCCATTATAGTACATTTCCGCGAAATAAAAAGTGCTATATATATTTATTTATGTATCTTGCCATAAAGAAACCTTCGCACAAAAATTTAACCAAATTGAACCATTCACTTAATTAGGTTAGTGTTGTGCGGGGTCACTTTTCATGCAGCCGATGGGTATGCCTGAAAAAGCACGAGTTTAGTCGGCTACAATACCCCGATCTTAATTTTGCCAGTATAGCGTCGGACTCACCATTCACTGGAAGTTCATAGTCTCGGTGAATGGCGTTTAAAGCTTGTCGATAGGCTCTTCAGCGGTTCTTGCACGTGGTGCTGGAGTATATTTAGTCGAGTACTCCCTCCGTTATGTGCCTAGGTACTGGCTGAACTTCAAGTAAACATCTGTTGTAGTGCTTGCTCAGCATACCATTATCCTTCTGAACTTGTAACATAGATATAGATTCTTTACTGTGAAAGTGAAACTCAGGCTACATCAGGTTTTCTGTCACAACCCTAAAGGTGGTGTCATTGCAAGACTGTAGATCCTTCATCTGCATCGGCGTCCGGATCGAAGCAACAACTGGATTTTTTTCTTTTCTTAAGGTAGTGGCGGTTAACGTTTTAAGGATTTTGTTGCGACTCTGTACTTTTGTGGCAATGCAGGCCGAATGCGACTCCCGCTAACTTCGTTTTATTAATTGTCGTGATTATTTAATCTTAGAGTGTTTGGATATGTGTCCTGGAAATTCAACCGATGATTTTTGAACATTCTGGCAGCTCATGGACCACTTCTTCAACCCTGGCGGTAATGAGGAATCCTTAGTAACCGATAGTAGCACTGAATGATTGACGGATGTAGTGCTACATGGTTCTGGTGGTTGGATGTTTAAGGCGTTCCGTGCAGTTGTGGTGCTGAGCACTTTTGGGAAGCCATTCTGATATGATACTGGACTCAGAAGCAAGACCACTCAACTCATTGTCTGGTATTATTATAGTTGTTAAAGACATATTGAAAACTTTGATGAGGTAGTCTGCCCCGCTGGTACCAGGTGTCTTAGCTTCAGCATGCTTACTCCGCCGGAGTGGTGTTTGGCAGTTTGCACAGACGGAGGTTGATTTTTCGCTTAATTTTTTCCATCGAAGAGTGCAGAGTAAAAAGTCGAATAAAATAATCCACACATGGCATTTCCACTCCCCCGTTTAGGTCAACAGCTAACAAGAAAACTTTTCCTTACTTTAACGCTATTAAATTTATGGTAAGTTCTAAAAAATCTGCCGAAAATACAAAAAAAAAACCTACAGAACATATAACTGTCGCCTGAAGTTTAATGCATATCAACCGATTATCTAATGTTCGCCTCAACCCTAACTTAGTCTTCTTTACTTCTTTAGCTTTCGCTAGGCGAAAAGCTTGGCATCAACTTCGATTGATTTATTATCTCTTTTCTCTATGGTTCTATGAAGTTTAGAAAGGTTTTGAGTAGAGAACCTAAACGAAAAATCAATCATTGCGACAGAGAGAGAGAATTAAAGAAATGTCTATAAAAATTATAAATTTACCTGGATGTCTTGAATGCATATGCTCGGAGACTACACGTCGATGTTTATTGAGATGATTCAAATTTTGTGGCGTCTGTCCCAAAGCCTGAAAAATGTATCGGAATTAATATTAATATACTTATGTACATAAAATGAAATAAGAAAAAACAAGAAATTGAAATAAATTCAAAGTATAAGCGTCAATTACCCCAAAATACAAAAGCAAAATGTTGTATAGTGCATGCAATTACAAAACAGTTAAAATATAAAATTAAATATAATCTAAAAATCAAGGGCAATTGGGTTCATACGCATGTTATTGAGGGAAGAGTTTGGTGCAATTGGAAGTCGGAAAAACACTTATTTTAAAGTTTTTTTTCTTCAAATCGGGTGCAGTGCGTTTTTTGGAAAATTATCGAAAATATTTATAGTTTTTTTTTTCTTTTTTACAATTTCATTTTGTGTTGGGAACATGCGAAATTATATCAGCTAGAGCTATAGTGCAGGTGCAAAACTTTACAGATCTATTTTAATTGCAATATATTTTAAATATTTCTGGGAGAAGTTAGCGGCTAGAATAAACTCGATTTCATTAAGCAGTGATGTGGTATATATACATATATACAATTGACACAACTGTAAAGATTGCGATGAGAATGTAGGAAATTGGTAGTATTGGGATAGGTAAACAATATTTGGGGAATATTTTTGGTATTTAAAAAAAATTTCCACATTATTTATAGTGGAGGTTTATTTTTTTTTTTTTTTGTTTTTGCTCTAGGAGGTATTCAGTGTATGTATATTTTATTGGTAGCGTCTGCCTGAAATGGATGAATAATATGGGAACAGTATGGATATCGTACAGAGATGTATTGGCGTGCTCAATGCATTTGATGTTAATGTATGTGTATGGGTTTTACAGTTGTTAGCAATAAATACTATATATCTATACAAATTATTTTGCATTAATAATTTCATTTTTGTAATGCACATAAGTGTATAACTCGTTGTCAAAAAATAAAAAATAAAAATAAAAAAAAAATATAACAGATTTAAAATATCAACAACAATCGCATTTATATATATTAATAATAATAATAATAATAATAATAATAATAATAATAATAATAATAATAATAATAATAATAATAATAATAATAATAATAATAATAATAATAATAAGTGTCGCCGAAACGAAATATTCGTACAAAACTTATTTTCTTAAAAAAAAGTTGCTCAATTCTCTTTTCTACGAGAAAAGGCCCTAAAACTATTGGAGTATTCACGATAAGACGAGGAAAAAGGAATATATAAATTTGAAAATTAGTCTTATCAAATATAAATTGAAATCATTTATTTTATTTATTTTTCTTTATTTTTGGAATTTTCGAAAATATATAAATATGGTTGAAACGACATTTTTTTTAAGGCACTCTGCTTTAGAGGCTACCAAATGCATTTTTTTTAAATCTATTCTAAAAGAATATATGTATATGCAGTTTTAATGGACGGACGTCGAGCAGGTTCAAATTATCTGACAGAACTTCAAAGCCCGCTTTCTCCAGTTTTCATTTTTAAAAATCTTTGAAAACGGTGCAAGTGATAGCAAAAAGAATTTATATCCGACCGAAGAAAATCAAAGTGTTCTGGCTTCAATATTAAGGTATCTTTTATTTGAACTAAAAAAAGTTCAATTATTTAACTTTTTTTGCAACTTGAGGTGTGGTTTTTTTTGTCCAAAAAGTGAACTTGAATTTTCCAACTTCTTCAGTATTTTAGTTCATAAAGAAAAAAACACTCATAAAAATTAAAAAAATTTAATTCGACTGTTTTACAAGTTCAGACTGCAGGCGCTTAATGAAACTTATCACAACATTGGAAAATTCGAAGTTTTTTTTTTTTTTTTTTTTTTTTTTTTTTTTTTTTTTTGTAAAAGAAATTATAGTACGTTATTGTCTGAAAATTTTGTTTACCGCAATAATTTCCTTCCCTTTCAAATAAATTTCTGAAAAATGATATTTTTGGGTTCAAAGTGCAAGTAATTACATTTAAAAACAAAGAAACAGAAAAACTGGTTCCATTAAACTTAAGAAGGGTGTGTAAAATTATATTTTAACCAATTGTGAAAGACAATTGTCAAAGAGATGGCTATTCCGCTCCCAAAATAACTCAAATGTAATGTTTATATCCAATCTTGGACCGATAATTTTTTCATCAGCAAAAGAAATTTACCAATTTAGGAAGTTGAGACCGCAAAAAAGTAGAAAAACCAATTTAATTAGCGTTTCATTATACACTTATATGCATTACTTTTTATGGAGAGTTGATTTTTTTGTTAGTAAAAATGTGATACTTTTAGTTAATACTATTTAAATATGACGTAAGAGTCAATATGTGGAATATATATTTACAAATTATGATTGTGAAGTGTGAGTATGTCAGTTAACTACAATTCAATACATTTTGGCCAATTTTAAGTTGATCAATTACGCAGCAGTAATTGACGCTACAAGAAGTACTTAGATACAAAATTAAATATTTCAAAAATCCAATGTTAGTTTTCCAAAAACTACAGCCAAACCAACAAATACGATTACAAAAGTTACTAATGTAAAAAAAACCCAACGATGGTTGTTATTTTAGTTGTAAATTTCCCAAACTACGCTTAACAAAATATGTAGTGTTGTTTTAAATAAGTCCGCCAAAGCCGCTGTTACGGTTAAAATGGTAGTCTCTTTATGCCCAAGCGCACGTTTTTCTGTTTGTGTGTGTGTGTGTGTGTGCGTTGACCATATACCAAGCTGGGTGAGTAGCTGCAGCGCTGTTCTTTTTGTGCTTAACGATTACCAATACCCATACAACAAAAACAAAAACAATCCATCCCGTCCCATAACATCTCTTTGACCAAGAGCAACTTTTTTGCTTTAGCATTTGGCTTTAACTTTTTGGACTTTACACATTTGTTTAGGTGCATGCGCCAATGCCCACCACTACTTACAGCTGCTGTTGCCGTTCCCGCACTGCTATTATTACTGTGCTGCAATTGTTGTTGTTGCTGCTGCTGGTGCTGCTGCAATTGCTGTACGATATTAGGTCGCTGCGATAGCGGGAACGCCGCCGCCATATTATCACGATGCACTGGCGTACACGTGGAAACGAGTGGATAGTTGAGCAGCGTGTCGATGCTGTTGGGCGGTGGACGCACACCACCAGTGCCCGTCAAATTCGAAAAGCTGCCGCGATGTGGCGACTCCTCTATCATGCCGGGTTGACGCGGAGGCAACGGCGGCGGTATACAATCGGTTTCGCAGCTACCACCATCCGCTGCAGAGCCGGACGCGTTTGTCCCAACTGCTGTTTCCATTTGTAAAAACATTTGCGTGGACATTTTCGGGTCGGAGAGCGCTTTTGTCTTGGCTTTGGAGCGTTTCTTTTGTGCTGCTGCACCAGCTACCACACTGGATTGTGCGGCGCTTGACGGTGGCGGCGGCGGCATTGTTGGTTGTGGTGATTTGCCTTGCGGACTTCCGGCCAAGTCCAAATCGGAGATTGGTGCGAATAGATTGTTATTGCTGCTGTTGCTCATCACTCCCGCCGCATTGCCATTGTTATCTAGTTGCAGTTGACGCGGTGGATTGCGCTGCGGCAGGGGTGGTGGTATGTCCTCTTGTATGCTTTGAGCTTTCGCAAATTTATTCTTGTTTTTGGAGCTCGATGATTTTGCTGTTTCCTTGAGGCGTGCTTGTTGATGCTGCTGCTGCTGCTGCTGCTGCTGTTGTTGTTGCTGCTGATGGTAATAAAGCGCCTGTTGCGATGAGTTGCGATGTTGTTGCTGTTGTTGTTGTTGTTGTTGTTGCGTTTGAGTTTGCGGTTGATGCAACGATTGTGACATATTGTATGGCGGCAATGGTGATGTGATCATGCCGGCAGAATTGTTGTTGGCATTGTGGTGATGTTGTTGTTGTTGTTGTTGTTGTTGTTGTTGTTGTTGCAAATAATGGTGATGATGATGTAGAAAATCCGTTGTATTATTTAAAGGCGCAGTAATTAAATCTTTATCAATCTTATTTTTACGCGTGCCCAACGACAAAGAGGACAGCGAACGAGGTAAAAGTGAAAGGAAAGCTGGAGAGGAGGATTGAACTTGTGGTTGTGGTGTAATAATTGGTGGCTGGAGTTGTGTTTGTTGTAGGTGTGGGTGTAGGAGATGTTGATGGTGTAATTGAGCGGGCGAGAGCAATGCAGTATTTTTATTGTTGTTGGCAGTTGGTTGTAATTTGATTGCTGGTGCATCCTGTTGAAAGTGGTGAGACAGTAGAGACAGGCAGTGGTTGTAGTGTTTTATTTCATTTGTTTTTGTTTTTTCTTAGAGGAAATCAGAGAGAACGAGGCGATGCTCGAAACGATAGTAGGGACTACTAGAGATATAGTTAAATGTGCCTTATTGAAGTACTAGCAACGGTTTACGTCCAGTATGTTAAGACTTGATATAATATATTACGAATTGGATTAGTTGTACTCAATTGATTTGTACTTTAACGCAGCTTTTAATATAAAATTCGCGAAAAAATTACTCTAATTTACAATTGCTATTATTAATGTTACAATTAACTATCCTCGGCCTTTCAATTCTATAAACAGTTTTTAGTTAAATTAAGTTTATTTCATTTTATTTTAATTTCATCCGTTTTAATTTAATGTAATTTTCTTCTATTTTAATTAAATTGTTATTAACTATTTCTTTTGATTTGATTGGATTGNTTATTTTATTTTATTTTATTTTATTTTATTTTATTTTATTTTATTTTATTTTATTTTATTTTATTTTATTTTATTTTATTTTATTTTATTTGATATTAATTATATTTTATGTTGTATTATTTTTATTTTATATTAATTTTATTTTTATTATTTATTTTATATTAATTTTTATTTTATTTTGCGCATATATTTGTATTTCAATTACTTGTCTCTATTAATTCAAATGTTAATTGAAAGTTAAATACATGTTAGCTAGATATAAAATTAGAGACTAAATTTTGAACAAAACACTCGCCAATTAAAATTTTATAAGCAAAAAAATTGCATTTAATTAATTTAATTTAATTTTCAGCAAATGCACAATGACAGTTAACAAATGGGGGCGAGTAGGCGAGCGGCGAATGGGACGGCAGGCAAGCAGAGCATTATTTTTAGTATTGGCAAATGACTATGTTCGTTATTATACTTATACTTATATATATATATAAATATTTTTTTCTTTTTGTGTAATTAAAGTTTTATCAGGTGCAAGTAAAAGAAAAATATTTGGAAAATGTATTTGTAGCGCTGGTGTATGACTGGTGTGTAACAGTGAACGGTCTTTTTTATGAAAAATAAATGCAAAATGCTACAATCACTGCAAATTATAAAAATGCCGCCATTCTCAATCTGATATAAATTTTTGATGTTTTTAAACGGAATTAATTTGCAAACGACCACGTATGTTTAGTGATCCTAAATTGGGATATGGGGTCATGTTGGGATTGTATTATATAAGTGTGCGTGTTTTCGTCGTCTCATTTCTCACGTGTTGCTCAAATGTGTGTTGTTGAAAAATACATTTAGGGAAATCAGGTTGTTTCCGAAGAATTTTCATAGTAAAGATCTCATTCATTTCAGCCTTTTTTAACTTTTGAAATAAATATAACGCAAACATTAAGGAATCAATTTTAAAAGTAGGCGAAATAAAAAACACCATTACATAATCATTAAAAATAATATACGAAAATTACTTATAACTTTTTCATATAATTTCTTTACAGACAAACAATTTTTAATATTAAAAAAAAATTAATACAAACAAAAAAATGAAAATGATTTGCTGAACTGCTCAAGTAGAAATAGTTTCTTGAGTGAAAAATATATGCATGGATACAAAAATTGTAAATCAAAAAAACAATTAAAATATACATGAGACTCCATAGATATTCTCCCCACCCAAGCACATACCTCGGCACCGATTTTTCGCAATTGTTCGCGCAGCTTTCGTATATTCGCTTCGGATAGTTTATAACTCGGATCATTGGTGTCACCTTTCAGACGCTCCAAATTCAATCTTTCCTGTTCTAACATTTTTTGCAGCGTTTGTATTTTATACGTTTCCATTTCGCGCCGTTTAATACTCTGTAGAAAATGGAAAATTGCATGAAAGAAAATAAAATATAAAAAATCTCAATTTTCAATTATTCGCTTTACATCAACCGGTTGTGGGCCTGTTATGGATGCTGTGCGATCCCGTCCCGATAGTATGGGCGTAGAGGGCACAATGCCCACCGATGTGGGGCGTGTTAACTTCTGACTCCGTTTCACCGCTAATTCGACAATAGTGGAAGCTAAAAGAGAGAAAGAGAAATTGTTAATATAAGAAGTGAGAATAAAAATATCTTTTAATCCAAAATGAATTATTCTATACAAGTGAAAGAGTTTATATTATCGATGCCATAAGCTAAAGAAAGAAATTTTACAATTTAAGGTTAAATCCATACTCCAGACAGTAACAAAAGGTCTTTAAGTGAAAATTCCCAAACGTGAACGGTACAACACCGATTCCTAATATTTTTGCATTGTCATCTCATATGATCCCAAATGAACAATACATTTTTCGTAGAAACCTTTCCTGATCATTGTAATATTTTTAGTACAATTAGTTTATCAGTTTGCTAAGAGAAACTCGAGCACCTAAGTCACGTCGTCATATTTCAGACGTTGGTATTTCATATTAGGAAATACGAATCCCGCGAAATTGATCAAGGCATGTTTGAACACCTTTTCTCAAAAATATTTATTAGAGCTTGCTAAATTTGCAATTCATCAAAAAAAAATAGTTAAATCGAATCACCTTTAAAGAGGTATAAGCGATCTCATGCCGACAAATAAGCATTATACTCGTATTTACAGGTTCTTTATAATGTCTTCTTTAAAATAGTAAATGAAGTGACATTAGATCTGGTGGTCTTTTATAATGCCAGAAGGTTCAATTTAATGTGCGTGATGAAGTAGTCATCATGTAGCATTGGCTTTTTGCGTAATTTAAGTTAACCCTGATATCTAAATTTGATACTTGATCTAGTCATTTGAACAGCGAATTTTCTGAATATCTAAGACGAGTTCTGGATAACGCCGGACAATAGCAGATGAGGTGTTTCAGGGTCTCACTCACGTCTATTCCCTGCACCTCCTGCATATGTATTCGCTACTGATGCCCATTTTTGAAGTATATATGTACTAAAATCAACATTTAGTTTCTTACGGTATTCTTGACCCATGCACCATGTATTAATAACAATAAAATCAGATTAGGTGGAATTTATTTTAGATATAAACTTCCGTCTGAGTAAAAAATTTTCGAAAAATCTGTGCCTTTAATACCGAAACACATGATGCCTTTATTTGCATATCAACAAATGTAGATTCTCCTCTTAGACGATATCGAGCTTGATGTTCCCATTATTTGTTGCCTAATTGGATATCGTTCTGGTATAGGTGCACAGCTCAGAGGGGAAAACCAATTGATTTTGGGCAACTTTAACACGCCCCACGATTTCTGGCATTTGAGGCTGTCAAACGACCGTAGAATTGTACACCTCGCAAAAGAGATAGACGATTCGACATTTTAAACCACTTCAACTGCTGTTATTAGTGGCAAATGTTTTTTTTTTTTTGCAAAATTGTTGCGACCGCTGTCGCTCGCTTTCACCGACAGGCCGAATGGCTGAAATCCGCCAATTCCACTGAAATAGCTTATTTGGCATCAACATGCGACTATCTACGTCAAGCCGTTCACGAAGATACCCGAATCAGAGAAAATATTCTGGAAATTAATTAAAAGGTCAATCCTTTTAAGCGAAATAAATAGTAGGAACCCTTAAGATCATTCAACCTCTCTTTCGCCAATAAATTATAAGAATTCAAATGTTCTCAGATAACACACCCTCATATTCCCGACTGGATGGAAAGCTTTTATATGCACGGAGATCAGAAAGTACGCAAAGTTCATGAGAATTTCAAGATAAGACAAGTCCAATGAAACTTGTTTGCGTTAGAAGCAAATCCATGGACTAAACTTATTGCCATCATTCCATTAGGATTTGTACAGTGCCGTGGAATTGTACAACTTAGCCTAACAAGAAATGGATTCCTAAGCAACCGAAGAATGTTTTATCGATGTATTTTTTAATTTAACAAAAAAAATGGTACTTAAAAATTGAAGTCCAAATCCTTATCTAAGGAAGGGAGAAATAAAAGATATGAATAAAGAAAAATTATAAATATAAAAGCATAAAATAAATATTTCAATAAAAAAATAATAATAAAAATTTTTTTAATGAAGTGGTTTGCACGTTTTAAAAAAGGCAATTTCGACTTAGACCACGGACAGGCAAAAAAAATTACAAGATAAAGAATTGGAGACATTGCTTGACGCAGATGCATGACAAACGCAAGAAGAACTTACAAAGTATTAGGAGTTGATCAAGTAACCGTTTCCAGACGATTAAAATCATTTTTTCACAACAAAGTCTTAATTTTCGAAAAAACCGCACGAATTAATCACCCAATATAACAAACTAATAATTATTAAATATTTAATAAAACTAAATAAAAGATTAATGACAATAAAAAAAATTAATAAAAATTATGTACAATGCATCAACAAAAAAAGATAATAAAAAATATTGAAAAAAAAAAACAAACAAAAAAGTTGGGAAAATTATAGAAATGCTGAAATTTAGTAAAAAAAAAAAAAATGTATATATAAAAAATAAAAAATGTACATCAAAAATAATAACAATAATAAATTAGTAATTAATAAACATGTAACAAAAATTAATAATAATAATAAAAATTAATAAAAAATAAACCCAATAAGAAAATATGAACTAATTAAAAAAAATTCAAAATAATAAAAAATTAAACAATAAATTAAGAAAAAAATTAAAAGAGTTCAATAAAGCAAAAGGTTACAACATAACAACAAATAAAAAATATAAACATATAAAAAATTATAATAATAATATAGTCACTAAAAGAATAAAATAAAAAGAAAGGAAAAAAGTAAAGTCAATAAAAAAGATGTATAAAAAATTAACAAAACAAAAATTAAATAAAAATAATACAAAAAAATTAAAGGTGTTAAAAAAGGTTAAAAAATAATAAAAAAAAGGGTAAAGAATCATTAGAAAATTAAAAATTAAAATTAAATACGAAAATAAAATTTTTTTTCTGTTAATATAATAATAATAATAATAATAATAATAATAATAATAATAATAATAATAATAATAAAAAAAATAATAATAATAATAATAATAATAACAATAATAATTAATAAATTAATACGTAATAAACGAAAACCTCACAACTAATGGATTAAAAAGTTATATGAAAGTTTAATATCAGAAGAATTTATTTTAAAAATAAAAAACTGCATTTGAGAAAACAAAACATTAAGGCTGATTGAATATGCTCACAGCAGCTTTCTGAAGAGGAAAACAAACTTTATGTGAACTAATTAGATGGATTTCAAAGCTCATCAGTCATGTCATTCAAGTGCTTTGTCGGCACACTTGGAAGCATACACACACATATTCATGTACATTTTCACATATTTACATAGCATAAGTTTTTTTAAATGCGTTTTATGACTCAATTGGCGTTACAAATTTCCCAATAAAACAACAATTTACAATTATAATTTCAGTATTTTTTTTTTTTAACAAACATTGTCACTCGTCATTAAATTATGTAGGCGAAGTTGATAGTCGATTAAAAAAATGTTTAAAGAAATGTCGTTACATTTTTTTATTTATTAAATAAATATACATATACATATGTAGACATACATAACTTTCTGTGGGTAATGAAAAATTATACTAATGAAAATAAAAATAATAATAATAATAAAGAAAACGGGCCCTTTCAAATGTAAAATGCTTGCCAGCCTACAAATGACAATTATTCAATAGAACAGGAGAGGATTATATGTTATGTGCGGAATTATTAGAGTGAATATAAATGAAAATTAAAACCTAATCGCATATTGATATCTACACACTTCATTATATAATGTAAAAAAATAAAGGCAAAAAAGGAGAAAAATAGCAAAAATTCTATTTCCCTTAGAAACATTTACTCGCAATAAATTTTGCATTATTTATTTGAACACTTGTCTAATTAGCAAAACAACAAATAGCCTGCACTGAATTATAATTCGAAAAATAGAAAATTAAATTAAAAGAAAATAAAACTAAATAACAGAAAAATTAAATAAAAAAAACAGAAAGCAATAAAATCACAATCGAAATCGGTAGACAAAGAGACGACAGAACGCACTGGAATGTTGATAATAAATTAAAATCGCTTAGAATAGAGAAGTCAAAGTACATGCATATATGTACATACATATGTACAATACATATATTCGTACACAAGCAGGCTTATAAGAGTAGATACTTATTATTGCAGTAAGTAATGGAAATGTTGTTGTTATTGTTGGCGGGACGGCCTAAATACATTCATCTGGTTTTAATAAGTGCGCGATAGTGCGCAACAAACAAAAAAAAACAATCGCTAAGGGTAAAGCGGTTAGGAAAAGAAGATGTCTTTATTATTTATGAGTGAAGCTTTTTTTCTTTTTTTTTTGTTTTCTTTTTAATTTTTTGCATAACAGTCCATACTTTGAAGTGCCCGATTTACATAATGTAGCGGCAGTCCTTTCAAAGTAAATAAAAATCAAAGTTGTCTGCCTCTATGCATATAATATTAACAATAAAGGAAAATATAATATTAACAAAAATAAAACTTCATCATTTTAACTGAATTTTTTTTGAAAAATTGTGCTTTCGAAAAAATTAATTCTAAATTAAAAGTAGCTACCAGTAATCCATGATACAATAACTGAAAAGTAGTTTTATTTTCTCTTCGCAGTCGGTTTCATAGATATCTGAAATCAAAAGTGTCTCGCTTTTTTCGTGCTAGTCTCTTCTCTTAAAAAAAATCTACCAATTTCAAATTAAAAGTATGTGAAGAATTTTTATATTTTTTATATTTTTAAACGTTCAAAAATCACTTATCATACCGTATTTTCTAACCCCTGATAGTGGACTTCAGCGAGTGTTTGCCTTTCATGATTGTTGTATTACTTTAGTAAATTGTAGGAAAGTACCAGAGAGGGAAGAGATTCTCTCACCAAAATTTAAATCAAATTCAAGAGGAAAAGTAGCTGATTGGGTTTGCTATATGTATCTATACCAATCACAAGGTTTTAGAGATGTTTTGTAAGCATACAGAACGTTGTTTCAATAATTTTTGGGTTTTTGGAGCAGTGCAAACTCATTATAAAAATCTCATATTTACGTCGTGTAAGTCGATTAAATTTCAATCTAAGCGTTAAATATATTGATTTTAGTCAGTCAGTTAGTTGAACAGCTTGCTCGAACTCGTAACCCTGATCTCGTAATGATACATATGTTGATGCTGTGAAGAAGATTCCACTCACCTTTCCAGATGCTCAAACCGCTTGGTGTATTTTACGAAGTTCAGGATATTAATTATGCCTCGAGATGGAAGCTATGCTAAGCAATCGAAGAAAGAATTTCCGAGAAATCCACAACGAACAGCACTTAAAGCTGGACAGTCGCAGAAAAGTTGTTTCAGGAGCAGGCCATCTTTCTACAGTGTCCGGTTAATACGCTGGTTATTAGCTTATAGTGATCCTGCTTAGAAGGAGTAAAGACTTCACTTCGATTTGCTCTTGGCCCTACTTAACCGAGGAAAGAGATATGTATACCTCTGGAAAATGTGGACTCTTTCCATTGTCCATCCACTTCAATTCTCTTATTAATGTTTTTAATAACCTCGATGTCTGCTGACGACAAAGAAATGAGCTCCAAATTCAAGACGACAATGCTGTCGCATAAAAGATGAGAAAACGAATTTTTTCTTGTAATCGTTCTTACTGCTACGGCAGTGTGGCCTAAAAAAAAAAAAACTCCCATCCCTTCTACATCTCACCCTATCTGCATTTCTGTCAAGAATCCTTCTACCATACGGCAGTGCTACCAGACAAGGCTATTTATTCGTTGGGTAGATATCCATCTGCAGACAAAAAAAAAATAAACAGACCGAGATGCGTGAGTATTTAGAGCTTGAGAAGCTGGCCGACAAGGGTACTACTCGAAAACTCTACGAAAAGATACGACGACTTACGGAAGGTTCCAAGACCGCATTAAACTTTTGTAGGATCCTGAGGGGTAAGATCTAGTGACGAATGCTCAGAGCATTCTTAATTTATGAAGGGAACACTTCTCCAGCCAAATGAATGACAGTGAAAATGATACACCTTGAAATGGGGAGCCCGAAACCCCAATTGAAGATGATGGAAAAGTCGTTCCGTTATCCGACTATGAAGTAGTCCGAATAGCAATCGCCTACTTAAGAAACAAAAAAAGGAAGCGGACCGATGGGTTACTGGCCGAGCTATTCAAATAAGGCGGTTAAGATCAGATCAGGTGGATGCATCACCTTCTTTGCAAAATGTATCGAGCATTTTGTATGAAAGACTGAAGCCCATCACTGATATATATATATATATATATATAAATTGAAGTGACACTAAAAGTTCCGTCAGCATCAGACAAGGTAAATTCCTTATTGTGTGAGCTGGAGAAAATAATACGAGCTGCAGAGTAGAATGTTTAATCTTCTATAAGGTTTAATCTTCTATAAGAGTGTACAGCTGCTGGCGTATGCCTCAACAGCCGCGCCGTGAGTTCTGCTTTCTCCAGACTGGATAAGGAAGCGAAGGATATGGGTGAAAGCCTATCATCACACAAAAATCATCGCATTCGCGACGCGGCTCCGACGTCACTAGATAACTTCGTATATCTTGCAACCAATATTAACACCAACGACAATATCAACCTGAGAATTCAGCACTGAATCACTGTTGCCAACAGGTTCTACTTCGGACTGGGTAAACAGTTGAAAAGTAAAGTCTCTTTCGACGAACAAAAACCAAACACTACAAGTCCCTCATCGTTCCCGTCCCTCTATATTCGGATGAGTCGATGTTAGGAGTTTTCGAGAGAAATGTTTTGCGTAAGATTTACGATCCGCTACGAGTTAGTAATACCGAAGCCGATGGAATAATGAGCAGTATGAGGTCATGTGGTCCGTTTGGATAAGAATGCTGCACAATTGAAAGAGTTCGTTGCAGTGTCCGTTGGTGAAAGGAGAGTAAGAGGAAGACATTTAGTCTGTTGGAAATACTGGGTGGAGAGGAATCTGGCTGTACATGGTTGCTCCAATTGGCGCCAAACAGCGAAAAAAAAGGAATGAACGGCGCATTTTTATAAATTTGGCTATAATCGCGTAAGCGGCGACTACGCCAGTAAAATAACTACGTTAATTATTGCTTATTACTATTATAAAGTTAGCAAATATGAAGAAAGTATAAACTATTGAATCACATGCATTCTTGAGAAAGAAAAGTTCTAGTAACACTGCAGTATAGAAGTGTCCTCGCTTTTAAGAGAGTACAGTTTATGCACTTTACGGGCGACGAATTTTTATGAACATTTATCTCATGTTAGAAACACAATTGAGAGGGCTTGGCAATCCGCAGCCACAAATAGAAAAATTAATTTTCTAATATTTTGGATGTTGATAGGACCAAGACTCGAACCCTGGCCATTCGGAGGCACTAGGTTTCAGTCATTTCATTTGTTAGATGCCGGAGAAAATAGAGAAAGTGCAACTGCTATGAGACTGTACGACGTTACAACGACACCGTTAATTCTGTTTTCTACAGGTTCTCAAGTTGGCGCACTTACGTCTTGGATCTCACGTCACTGTTGGCAGACAAAATCTTCCGAGATCGTAGAATTAACACCCATTAAAATGTCACCCTTAATATCCAACGCAGAATTACTGTTGACAACAGGTGCTACTTGGGACTAATTAGGTTACTAAAAAGTAAACTCCCATCACGTCCCGCTGTATGGTGCAGAATCGTGATGGGAAGTGCAAGTTTTTAGAGAAAGGCTTAGCGGAAGACTAATGATCCTTTTCGCTTTGGCAACGGGGAATGCCGCACACTAAGGAACCAGTAGTTGTACGAGTTAAACGGCGACATTGGCAAACAAGAGACAATGGCTGGGTTAAAATACGAGGTGTGTCTAAAAAATATCGCGAATTTTGTGTTTTTTCAAAAATTATTTATTTATTCATGAATATCTATTTTGTCCTCTTCAAAGTAATCCCCATGAGATATTATACACTTGTGCCAACGGTTTTTCCAATCTTCGAAGCACTTCAAAAAATCATTTTTTTATCTTGTTCAGCTCCTCCTTCGACGCCGTCTTTATCTCGTCAATCGTAGCGTAACGTCCGTCGTCCTTTCATGGGCCTCTTCAGTTTAGGGAACAAGAAAAAGATACAGGGGGCCAGATTTGGGGAATACGGTGGCTGCGGCATCATTAGTGTGTTGTTTTTGGCCAAAAAGTCGCGCATAAGCAACGATGTGTGAGCAGCGGCGTTATCGTAGTGCAAAAGCCAATTTTTGTTCTTCCACAAATCCGGGCGTTTTTGGCGGGTTGCTTCGCACAAATTGCGCATAACTTTCAGGTAATATTCCTTATTGACCGTTCTACCCTGTGGCAATACTATTTTCTCCACTTCATTAATTTTTTCGTCTGTTGCTGAAGTGCTCGGGCGTCCGGCACGCTCTTCGTCGTTCACATCTTCTCGGTCTTCTGAGAACATTTTGTGCCACCGATAAACGTTGCTTCGGTCCAAGGTAGCTTCTCCGTATGCCACAGTCAGCATTCGGAATGCATCCGCATCCAAAATACGTGCAAGCAAAGCAGCTGTCAACAATTAAGTGAACATTCAAAATGGCCGAGCTTGTCGGCATAAGTGACAGACATGACATGAGTACCAACATAAAGCCACAAAAAAATTGACATTCCATTAACGTAACCCGCAAAATTCAAAATTCGCGATACTTTTTGAACACACCTCGTATGATTTATGATTTATGTATTTCTTCACGCCAAAGCAACGACGAATTAAACTCTGAGATTGCCAATAAATGAGTCTTAAAGATCTTCTGCACTTATTTGGAGCTATTCTTACTATTTAAAAAAAAATCCATGAAGAGTCTACTTTGTACTAAAATTTAGTTTAATTTAAACAAAATCATTGACAATAGTATTGCAACTTGAAGCATCACATTGAACTTCGTGAAGTGGCAAATCTTTGGACTCGTTCATTTGGGGCGGTACATTTCACACAGCGGCTAATTTATAATGAACAAAATGCCACGAGAGTACAACAAAATGGGCTCGTATAATCCACTTTATTGTAGCCATAAATAAATACATGTATGCATATGTGTACATACATACATATGAGCGCTGATGTACTCGACGCGACTTGACTTGATTTGCTTGCTTGAATTGTCTTACATTAGTACCACACCCACCAAACAGCACAAAAGTCAAGATTGAGTACAAAAACAGAGCAGAAAAATGTGGTGAAAAAAAGCATAAAAAAATATAAAAATAATACCAACAAAACACATACCTTTTATTAAGCCAACCACAGTTGGATGCTTCTCCATACGCACTTCTTGTCCATTGACCTAAAAAAGCGAAATAACAACAGAGAAAACGGTGAATGGCAAAGTTGGCATAAATAAAAGCAAAACGAATAATAAACAAAGCAGAAAGACGAAATAATAATAATAATATTAAATGCAAAAACGAAAATAAAAGCCATAAATTATAAATAAAAGAATATCAATAATATAAAGTTGTCGTACAGGGTTCTCCAATGAGAGGTGCTATTTTGGATTTTTGGACTGCTATTGCGCTAGATGTCACTTTTGAAGCTGTAATTTTTTGACATTTGACAAGTAAAAACTACGCCAGTAATAAAAATGGAAATATAAAAGCATCCAAAACGCGTTGAAATTATTAAAATTCACGTCGTCGTGAAGCACCTTGCCGCACCGTAATACTGAATTTTTTGGAAAAAATGGCACTGTTGGTATAAGTTAGTGATGTGAACAATAAAGCACGTGCACGTCGCTCAACTGAGAAGATTGCTGCTATAGCCCAAAGTTTTCAAAAACACCCAGTGTTGATTCCTCTTCGTTCTTTGGAATTGGGCAATCCACAAACGTCATTACACCGTATTTTGAATAAAGGCTTACAAAGTTCAGTTAATATAAGAAGTCAAGCCGGCTGATCATCAACAACGTCGTGTCTTTGCTGATTGGTTCATTGAAAAGCTTGAAAATAATCCAGAAATTCTTCAAAAATCATCTTTACTGAACAGCTGTCGCATCAGTGACTCGAAAAAACTTAAAAATTATTGTTGATAAGCCTAACCATCCTCAACGTGTAACTGTTTTGTGCAGTTTATGGCGGTGCCATTGGATTTTACTTTTTCGAAAATGAGGCAGCAGCAACAACCGTCGAGAATGCATTGCGCTATCGAGAGATTATTAATGATTTTTTATGGCCGGAATTGGATGGTATTGATCTAAACAACTTTACTTTCAACAAGACGGTGTTGCGTGCAACAAAACCATTTCGAACGGGTTCGAACCATGTTATGCGTCGATCGCTATTTGCCACCGAGATCTTGTGATTTAGCGCCTTGCGACGTTTTCATTTGGGGTCCGGTGAAAGGTAGGGTATACGCCAACAGGCCCCAGCCTCGATTCCAGACCTCAAGAATGGATTATGGGCATACAGCAGCCATTTTGCGATTGGGTGATGGAAAATTTCAAAAAGGGTATACGGTGCTGTAAGCGTAGCCGTGGCGGTCATTTGGAATGGAAAATCAAAATAACACTACTTATTGATAAACCCTGTATAAACATACACACATACGAGTGCATGCATACATATGTGGATATGTGTATTATATTTATATGTGAGAGCGAAGAAAAAAACCTGGCGCATTATTATTACTCCCATTATTACCCATCAAGTATGACTTGACAACAAATGCAGCGGCAACAATAAGAGTTACGCCGTGTCAGGCCAAAATGCGAAGCCAAAGAACTCGGACACAGGCAGGGGACGGCATGCATATGTAGTTGTTGTTGTTAATTTGAAATTTTTTCATACAAAATTCTACATTTTTTTTGTTTGTTCGGCATAAATAATATATAAACGACAACAACAGCAACAACATAATATGTAATAATAACAATAATAAGAATAATAAACGCGGAGAGCGACCTGCGCCTTTATTCATCGCTTCTTTTGCTTTTGTATTGTTATACTTAGCAGAAAAATCCAAATAAAACAAAATCAATATAAAAGTAATGAAAAATGCGAAAAGAACAAAAATAAAAAGAAAATGTGGCATAAATAAGCAAGAATTTCAGCAACAACAAACCTTTAAGATCATATCGCCGGCAACTAAGCCAGCAATTTGTGCCGCTCCACCTGGTTTAACGCTTTCAACGAAAACTGGATTGTCGCCCGAGACCTGCAATAAAAGAGAAAGAGACGAAACAATATTATATGTATATGACAACAATTACAAAACAAACAAACAAAAAATTGCAAAAAATTTAACCTACTTTAAAGAGTCATAAGTAAAACAAGATGAAAAAGAAGTTTAAAAGTAATTAAAATTATTACACAAAAAAAGGAGTATACTAAATGTACGTAACGGAAAATGCTGTTTGGTTGTGATTAACCTTTTTTTTTTTTCAAGAGAGTTTTCGGAATCCCAAGCAGATACAAGAAAATTATCGAAGAGTTTGAAATGGCCCAAACAAGGCATTAAGTGACTAAACTGTCACTATTCCGAGTCTGATTAATCTTAAGGCGATTTCGTCCACCAGAGATGACGGACTACTGCATTTCCCCTACTCACTTCACTAAATATTACAAAATAGTTGATCCCGATGGAAAACCAGTAAATATTTATATATTTTCAGATACCTACCACACAGCATAAAGAGCCCTGGAATCTGAAAAATGAAATCAAACAGCAAATAATCTCCGTAGAACACTTAACGTGAGGGCTAAGCAGTTCTCTCTGTAACTAGCATAGGTACCTGGACGCAGTCACGTACAGGGTGATGAGATGGCGGACAAGCATTGCAAGGAAGGGCATATGCTTCCCAGTTTGCCATAAAATGTTTGAGCATGTCGCCCTCCACTTCTAAGCCCAAAATTTAGCACTACAGATGCTAAATTATGGTGGAATAGTCTTAGTGGTTTGGCAGAGTAGAGGTTTTAGCGAAACACCGGAAGAGAGCAAAGATACGAGTCCATCGATTGCTTAGTTTTTAAACTTCATGCCTTGGTTTAACTAGCGGGTGGGTGAGGTCTTTGATGATCCCAATCAATGCGCTTGTTTGGTAAGTGAGCTGTTGACTGATAACTAGTTTAATCTATCATAACCTAAGGCGTGACCGTGATAAGAGACGACTACAATCCAAAAGCTCCTGCGATAATATGGTCCAGCCAATGACTGTCATTTCCTTGCACTAACGACAGCTTGGTTTTGTTTGCTCCCTTACAAATCCTCCTTACCAAATGCATTATCGTACACAACACTTTGCTTAAACGCAACTAAAAACAAGCCTCAAAACATGCAGTGCCAATAGTATACGATTTTGTGTGGTGGAATACCGAATATACTTTAATCTACTTGAGTTGCTGCCAAGAACCCAAATTAATAATTCTGTTGCCAAGTATCGACATTGAAGGAAGAATTGCCGGCAATCCCAAAGACGAGATGTGCCACCATGATAACGCCGGACGACGCACGTCTTTTGCAAACCGTCAAAAATTAACAGAGCTCAACTGATAAATAACGCCATTTCCTCTCTACAAGCCTTAACTTGTTATTTATAAGGGGGTGATAAGTACGTAGGTAGGAATGCTGACCAAAGGATCTAAGCCTAGGTCTTAATTAATAAATATTCACAATCAAACTATTTAAATTTGATTAGCTTTTTTCTGACTGCGATTCAAGGTTTGGCATTCTAAGTATTTTGTGATGAATTTGCAAGAGAGCTGAGGCATTCAGAGAGAAAGTGAATTATTCTCTTCTAATGAATAGGGTGTACTCACTTCGAAACAACCTCTCCGAAGGGCAAATGAACCGTTATGGCGGCTGTAAGTATATTACATAGTTTTTCCCCACCTTTCTTTGTATATGATATAGTTTCACTCTTTTGCAGGAATACCATATGTTAAGTGCTATTTGATCAACTTGCAAATGATTGATGCATGAATTTCGAGGTCTTCGGAGTTCATTTGTGACCCATTGATGCAGAATGAGACCTACAAACCTACAAAACCCTTCCTTTATTAACTTCTAGAGATCATCATCACCAGGAAACAACTATTAAAATATTATTACGGGAGGATATAATTGGATTAACATAATGGTTTGGGCTGGTTCGATATATTATCGTGCACAAATATTTTTTGTATCCCAATATCCCACTACATTAATCTTATGGCGGAACCTGCTGCCACATTCGAGTGGAAATGCCTAAAGGAGATGCATTCAAAAGCACGCTAGGCGCGACCCTCGGACACGATTTTATGCTTCAGTAACCCCTAAGCAGGCCGCTCAATGTTTCTGACTAAATTTGGTTTAAGGTCACAGACAATGCCAAGTACTCTTACATGTGTTATAAGCCAAAAATGCATTCCTTATTTGATTTTTCACATTCAATTTCCATTTCGACTTCGTTTCAATCTCAACCTCCATATATATTTCTTTGGGGGAGAAAGAGATTATAATACCGTTGAGTTAAGCAATTGTGGAGTTTTGGAATGACCTAAAATCAATGATAGTGGATTTTTCTGTAATTAAAGACTCCCACTATACCTCGTAGTGCATGGAGAGCAATTTCTGTAAGCGTTTTGCATGTAAAACCTGATATTTTATGAGCCTCTCCAGCGTTTTCATCAGAGCAAAGGAAGTATAGGGCTGAAGCTTATAGGACTGTCATGTTCTCTTCTTTTCGGTTTTGGTAGGTATATAGGATAGTTGAATAATGGCCTTGAAGACCAATTCAAATTTCAAATTAGTTCCTTTAGCTTCGGTAGCATTATGGACAGGAATAGGAGAAATATTTTTCATAAATTCTACAGTTTTACAATAGACAAAAAGCGAGATATCATCAGCAAATATAATCAGTGAAATTGTGGTTGTTGAATGACGACCCGAGAAGCTTTGAAATGATCCGTCCTATTTTTATTTGAGAGAGTTTTAAGAGGTCACTGTTCGCTGAAAATTTAAAAAGCTATTTCTTTATTTTTATTTTGAGTCCAACATAATTAGGTAGAGCTCTTGAAATATATACACACAACTGCATACATATGTGAAATAATTCTCACAGTCTTTATTAGCTCTAACGGTCGAGTATTAAAGTTCAATTTGCACAAGATTTCTTAGTTATGACTAATGCAACAAAGCAAAAATCAACAAAATTATTATTTGTTTATATTTTTACGCCACACATCACGATCACCACCACCACCACCACCATCACCACCATCCGCACAAAAGAAGACAAACACACACATGCGCTCGGAACCACGCCAAATGCCGTTTGCTGGGCAAATGCCAGGAATTATGGTGGCAAAACAAAAACCAAAAAGAGAAAATCGTTGTACATATCTACATACTTTTAGGTACATCATGGTGCGTGGTGTGTACATTCAAAAAATTAGTTGTGGAAACTTGCACATAGAGCCTCCTCATGTCATGTTTCTGAAAACTTTTCTTAGCGACGACAGCAAATGTGTGCAAACATATTATTATTTTTAAACTAAGCAATGACAGGCTGTCATCTGTGTGAGATCATAAAAAATCTCGACAGCTAAAGTTAAGGTAATATACTCATAAATACCCATGCGCATGAATAAATAAATTGACGATCACAGCAGCAGCAGCAGCAACAGCAGCAGAAGCACTAACAGCAGCAGCTGTAGGAGGCAGGCATCGCTGGCGTGTATGAACTCAAAGTGCATACATAGTGCCGACTTACGAGGTGTGTTCAAAAAGAAAGGCAATCTGCGATAAAAAATATTTATTCAACGACATTGTTGTTGTCGCCTTCTAAATAAACTCTTTTAGAGACTATGATCTTTTGCCAACGCTTTTCTCACTCCTCAAACTCAAGCTTTGAGATACCATTGCACTTTTAATGTCAATTGCGATGACCCCATAAGACCCTATTTATTTTTGGAAATAGGCAAAAATTAACACGGAGCCATGTCTGACGAAGATGTTATTACCGAATTATTTTGGGCCAAAAATTGTGTGTGAGCAGGATCGATTATACGAGCTGCAAAAGCCATGAACTGTTTCTTCAAAAACTCAGGCGTTTTTTCTGATTCCTCCACGCAAATCGCGTTGGACTTGTAGGTTATACTCTCTATGAACCGTTTTACCTATTGGAGAGAATTAATTATGCTCCATGCCATTAAAATCGAAGAAGGCGATCGACAGCACTTGTAAGGAATTTAGCCATTTCTGTCTTTACGAGCCAGAAAGCCCCTTTCTAATGATTGACTGATAGTTGCGACGTCATATCTGTTAACCCGAGTTTCGCCATCTATTACGTTTCAGTAATTCTGCATCATCGTTGACTTTAATTAGTGCCTTCTAAGCATCTTTCATTTATTCAAGAATTGTGGACCAAATTTTGCTGCCATTGGATCACGGCATGATCCAATCGATATGCCAACCTCATCAGCGACATCTCTAACTGTAATACGATGGTCGATCATAACAATTTCTTTCCCTTTTTCCGCGATTTCATCGATTATTAATGTGTTAGGGCGCCCAAGGTGTTCGTCTTCTTCTGGGCCTACAGTGTCTTAAGGGGTCTTCTTTGAAACGCGTATAGCCTCCTGTAAACTTATAGCAGACTCACCATAGGACTTTGTTTAAACTTCAAATACTTTGTTGTACGGAATTCCATTTTTCACGCATAATATAAGGTTGTCAAATATCTCCCTTCCGCTTTTTGCTCTTCATTCGATGCTTTATAAAAAGTGTTACAGTGATCGGATTTAGTTAAAATATGAGCCGTTTTGTTCGATGATCTGTTTCCATCTAGACGGCAACTTCATAATACCTTCCTCGTAGAAGCCCCTCCTTATTTGCGAAGAATTCGGACAGCTTCAACTTCACACCACCAAGGGCATTCGCCATCGACAGGAACAGGTGGTAATCACTTGGCGCTACGTCCGGGCTATATGGTGGATGCGATAAAACCTCCCATCCGAGCATTAGTGAACTCCATGTTTTCACGTCTATAACTGCAATATCCAAACTAATCATGCATAGCGTTGTTTTGTAGGTTATGTCAAGACCTTTCAAATTATGTATAGTGTAGCGCGAAATAGCCGCGAAATTCAAACGTCAAAAAAGCGGAAGGGAGATATTTGACAACCTAATATTATAGAAATCTTTTGATTAATTTTTTTTTTTTTAACAAACGAAAA